TTTTGTGTATTGGAGTATGAAAAAAAAGAAGAAAGAGAGAGATTGGTATTGATTTGAAAATTAATAATTTGATTGTATAATTTTGATTAAATAATTGGTTTATTAATAAAAGAAATTGTTAAGGAGAGAGGTGGAAATTGAAAGTAATTATATTGTTTATTCGCGCCAGGGTCGGCGCGCTAGCAACCCAGGGCGTGTCACGTGGGACCGCTGGGCCCCACCAGTGACGCCGCGCTTACGTCACGCGCGACGAGGTAATGAGCATAGCTCATTAGTTATCTCGTCGCGCCTCGAGTTCAGTCCACTGTGCGCAGCGACAAGCGCTGCATTACTCCTACTCTCTCCTTACGTACTATTACTGCAAGTCTGTGTTGATTTATTTATCCCCTCCTCATCTTCACCCCACGTAACAATACCAACTCTACATTTACCAGGTATCCGTGTATACCAATACTACAACAAAGGTATTCCTCCAATACTATATTTACAAGGCATCCCTGTATACCAATACTACAGTTACCTCTTTGAGTAATTAACATTTGTTGAGAAACCGATTTATGTCTCTAGCTAGTGGAGGAAACTCCAGGCTTAAAATAAATACAATAGTAGGACGTTATAATGTTCTACCTCCCGTACAGTATACACCGCCTGCAACCCCTAAAAGTAATAATAACCCCAATAATAACGCGCACAAACATGAAAAATACATTTGGATAAGGTAATAAGCCAAATTATCAACCGACAAGAATGTCGATGAGTACAAAGAACAGATCAAATAGGACTTTTGCACCTGGCAACTTTTCTTTCAATGCAACCAGCCCCCAGATTACTTTTCAGAGGAGCTCCATTGTCACGAAGCAGAACTCCCCGATTTGAAATGAATTTTATTGCAAATTAACAAATTAATTATTCATATGAAACAATAAATAAACATACAATATCAACAGAAAATACACATGAACACCAGTTCACCAACCTGCTTGACCTTCGTTGACCTGCAAAGATTGATACACATTAATAAGTGCAAGCGCGACTGCGAGTGCGACTGCGAGTGCGGAGAATAATGGACCAGCAACTCAAAACATCGAAACCAAAACATCTTGGCTACCGAGGTGACTACACCCATTGTTCGTCACCTCTCCTACCTGTTCGATCGTCACCTCTTCCACTGGCCTTATACATACATTAAGCTATTGAGCGAGTTCGGTATCGACCGGCTAGCATTCTCTGCCGGGATTTTGGCCTGTAACTACACATCGTGATATTAATAAAGTGCAATTCCTTGCCCGATATCGACGCCTACGTTAAGCGATGTATATGACATGCCAAACAAAAAAACTTATTCGACAGAAGACGAAGCTTTCCCTTTTTCTCTCGGATACTCGATCAAAACCTTTTGACAAAATTTCGCTAGATTTCTACGGACCGTTAAGGCAGACGACTAAGAGGAATGTCTATATTCTTACCATGCAATGCTGGTTAAACAAATTTATAATTTGAACTCCATGCAAAAAGGCAAATGCACAAGAAGTCGCACGAGCATTAGTCGACAAAGTCACATGCTATTTTGGCACGCCTCTATCAATTCTATTCGATAACGGAACGCATTTTCAGAACAATCTATTAACCGAGTTGTACAAATTATTTAACATCGAAAAAAATAAAGAGCTGCGTGTATAGACCGCAAACGTGTGGCGCTATCAAACGAATGCATTCAACCTTAACGGAATAATTGAAAAAATTCGTTAACAATAAAGCGAAATTGGACGATTGCCTCCCTTTCGCACAAATCGCATATAACAACACAATTCATAAAACGACCGGATTTTTACCCATTGAAATTATCACAGGCTTCCCCGCACGTATACCAACAGGTTTCGCAAGCACAGATAACGCGTACTCCTACGACAGCTACTTAAATGACGTAGCAGCAGAGCTATATCGCGTACAAACTCTCGCGGCAATGAACTTGAACCTAGCAAAGTGTCGCTCTAAGTATTATTAAGACCAACATATTAATATTCAGCATTTTCGCAAAGGTCAAATGGTCATGTTATTAAAAGAGCCGCGAGCAAACAAATTTAGCGAAAAATATAGCGAGCCATACGAGATTACACACATCAATCATGAAGGGAAATCCGTGGTTTTGCTTCGCAATGGCACTGAACGAAAAGTGCACATCGAAAAGATCAAACCCGCTTACGCGCAAAAACCGACAAAATTAATGGTTAATAACATTGATAAGAACAAGAACGAAGGAATGGGATTGCACAGTTCGCAAGCCAAACCATGAGTGGTATCCAAATTGAAAATTTTCTATGTACATATGAGCTTTTTTTTGTGATTTTTTTTAACGACTTCGGTTATATAATGACCTACAGTCAAAAAAAATAATATAATAAAATAATAATAGGGCAGGCGTTGGTTCACAACTTGATTAATTACAGGGTCATTAAGGCCCTGTATAGATTAATAGTTATATTTTATTATAGCTAAAAGAAGAAGACGATGACAATCGGTGGCTCATGAATTAAAAATACATATTTTTAATATATGATTTTGGTTTTGTGTTACAGCTACGACACGATGAAAAGCATCGTGATATATGATATGGAGATGCAACTGGGCAGAGGCGTTGCAATTATTGACTTATGGGGATAGAGTAGTATAGCTTCCGTGTGCGCAAGAGGGGGACCCGTGCACCGGAATGGTCACTCATCAGCTAAATAAATTTTACTGATTGAGATTTTGGACAGTTTTAATTGGAATTAATATAGCCGGTGCGACAGTGTATATTGATAATCAAAGCGCAATAAAGCTTGCTAAAATTACTGAGGCTCATAAAAGGACCAAACACATAGACGTTCGATACCATTTCTTACGTGAAAAACATGAGAGTGGCGAAATGTTGTTTACCACGAATCCTCTGAGTTACAAAAGGCTTACAAAGCCACTTGCAAAAGATCATTTCAATTTTCTGCGTGATCTCATTAGTATTGTTGAAATTTGCGATTGAAATAAGTTCATTGATTTTCGAGCAGGAGATCGTGTTGAAGCATTCACATGTGTTCTAAATTTGTTAAGTTTCACGAGCATTCAGACGACCACTGCTCTGTCTGTATCTGACGCTTGCCTCCGCTCCTGCTGACACACAATAATCTGTCAGTTGCAAGCGACGAATATACACGCGAACGCCTAACCAAGATTTTTCCTCACTGTACTTTTTCTTTATTAAATCAAACCTTATTGTAATAGTTGATTCATTTTCCTGCTCTGCTTCGTCTACTGTGATTCGATGAGATGTGTTTTTCTTTATGGCATTTTACAAATTGCTTTTTTTTATAGCGTTTTTCACTGCGTTTTTTTCATAAGAATCGGCGATTGTTTCTTATGGGTAAATGTAATTAAAATTATAAAAATTATTTCTACTCACAGAAAGTCTTGAAGAATATCCAACAGATGAATTTTATCTAGTTTTTTTTCATTACTTTCATTGATATCGCTCTGCTCTTAAAATAACTGCCAAACTACCATTTTTTAGTTGAGTAACAACTGTCACACATATTTTACTTGTTTCAAAGGTATCCTTTGAAAAAAATTTGAATCGTGGGCTTTCAAACCTCAGAAAAAATCTTTACTAGGTGCTAATAGGGTTTTCTATTCATTTTAATCCATTGTCGCCCAAACTGGCATAAAAATCAGAATTTTCTCAATTACCGTACTTTTCTATTAAAAGTTATTAAAATCTACAAAACTACGTATAATTTTGTATTTTTTGCTCTCTCCTTTTTTAATTTTACATCAGAATGGCGATATTTTCAATCATTTAACAATATATTGATTTAAACTTGAAAAATGCAATTAACCCCTGAAATGACCATTTTTGGACGACATTTATAGCGATGAATTACACCGACTAAATCAACACGGAAAAAAGGTTCGGTCGTGCGTCTCACGCATATAAAATTGGTCAATGGTTTGTATACTTTATTGTAAAACAGTTATAATTACGAAATTCAAAATGGCGATCATAAATTTGACTCCCGAAGACCTGTGTGTCATAAAATGATTTCGACAACTTTTAACTCGATAACCATCAACTTTAAAAGAAAAAGTTGTAGAATAAAAAGTGTGTAGGATTGATCAAAGAACATGCCTGAATTTTTTCAGAATTTTTTGAGCGATTTTTGGATTTCTGGATAACACCATTTTTTCAAAAATCCAAAAATCGTTCTAAAAAATTCTGAAAAAAATCAGGCGTGTTCCTTGATCAATTCTAAACCCTTTTTGTTCCATAACTTTTTCTATATACGATAGGTTTCATTTTTGATTTTTGATTTCGACTGAGAACGTTCAAGAATTTTTAACTTGATAACCATCAACTTTACGAGAAAAAGTTATGGAACAAAAAGGGTTTAGAATTGATCAAGGAACATGCCTGAATTTTTTCAGAATTTTTTGAGCGATTTTTGGATTTCTGGATAACACCATTTTTTCAAAAATCCAAAAATCGTTCTAAAAAATTCTGAAAAAAATCAGGCATGTTCTTTGATCAATCCTACACACTTTTTATTCTACAACTTTTTCTTTTAAAGTTGATGGTTATCGAGTTAAAAATTGTCAAAATCAACAGGTCTTCGGGAGTCAAATTTATGATCGCCATTTTGAATTTCGTAATTATAACTGTTTTACAATAACGTATATAAGCCATTGACCAAATTTATATGCGTGAGACGCACGAGCGAACCTTTTTTCCGTGTTGAAATTTGAGTTAAATGAGATTTTTTTCTCGAAATTTCAATTTTTTTTTTTAAATTGTTTATAACTTATTTTATTTAATAATTTTTTTAGATTCTGACCCCAGATTCGAAAAGTACACTAAATTTTACGTGAGAAATGATGTCTGAAAAGTTTTTCAAACAATTTCTAGTCGGTGTAATTCATTGCTATAAATGTCGTCCAAAAATGGTCGTTTCAGGCGTTAAAGGGTTAATGTTACTTTTTACACATAAAAAACACATAAAAATAGTGAAAATGAATGCTAGAGTCCAGGTTGAGGGGTATTATAATTCTATGCTAACAGAATAACTTTGATTACTATTACTAATAAAAAAAAACTTATACTACATATTTATTAGCCTTGATAATTATACATGTTTACAGGCTTTCCAGTGTTTCGCTTCCAAGGTACATAATCTACTATTTCACCACAATTACCCGTAGAAAAAAATTTACCTGAGCACTAACGATTTATGCCCTTAATACTATATTTATTTCAAGTACTGTACCTCATTTTTTATAATTAAATTTATCATAATTAAAAAAAAATAAAAAATTCTCGCTTAGTTCTATGTATCAAATATATCAATCAAATATCAATATATTTTAATTATTATTGATAGATGACTTTCAAATTGGAGTTTCCGTATTTAGTTTCAGTAAAAACTTATTTGAAATTGGAAGAGCCATTTTTTCTGTTATAAATAAACGAGGTAATTGATAAACTGTACAAAGAAGAGCAATATCTCCTTGTCTCAATTGAAATTCACATCCATTCGTTAGAGATCTGGATGGCAGCTCCCCTTCACATACAAGAGCCCAATGTTGATATTTTGATAGTTTCTCCTTTTCATTAGACAGTACCGGAGCAGTTACGAGAAAATGCTCCAAAAAAGCTCGAGGCGTAGCGTCTTGAGCCAAACATTTAGCTAGTCGCTCTAAAATGGCATCCACGGTATGCCGTGGTTGTTGACGTGTAATTCTCAAATATTTTTGTAATGGTCTAGCCATTGAAGGAAAAACAGATTGTGCTGCTTCCATCGGAGTAAGTAAATTTGTATCTATCAGTTCTGCATCAGAATTTATTCTCTGAATGTGTGCAAACGCTTCTTCAGCTGCCGAAATTAATCTTGCTCTCCGCTTTCGAACTCTTTTTTCGTATTCATTTTCATCATAGAAACGTTCGTTATGACTTGAATCTCGTTTACGAGATTGTGAACAAAGCGACGAGAAATCATTTTTAATTGTGTTTCTATTACAACGATCAGTTGAATTATCATTATGTTCATCAACATTGTAAAATTTAAAATTACTTGAAACGTGTTTTTTTGAAGATCTCGAGACAGGCAAACGTTCTAAATATGGATTATAGACCGGAAATTCTGTGTAATATTTTTCTAAAATCCAAACGGCAGCTCTTTGTATTGATAATTGGCCAATAGCATAAGATTTTGATACTCCATCAGGGCTTCTGATTACCTAAAAATTATTCATAATATATTTATTAATATTACTGATATAATTAAGAGTAAGTAAATTATCGGAAATTTAATTGATGAATTTTTCATTTTTACTGATCAAAAAATGATAATGGAGGACTATTAGGAACATTTTGGGTGTGATCTTTTTAAAAAATAAAACCAAAAATCACTCCAAAAATTCTGAAAAAATGTACACATATTTTTTGAACAATTCTAAACACTTCTTATTCTATGAAATTTTTTCATGAAGCCGATCCTAGTCGAGAAAAAAAATCACGAATTTTTCTAGTAAATTTGATTAATTCCTTCAGAAAAGAGCTGAACAGTGTCTTATCGAAAAAATGCAACTGTTCTCGAAAGTTTAAAACTTTTTTTAATGAAAAAAAATTTTTTCAGATTTTTTTGCAAAAAACTGTTGCCAAGCAGAGTTAAAATCACTTTTGCATTGTTAGGCCACACCGTGCGGCATAGAGCGTAGCGATCAATGTCCTTTGCAGCTCTTACGTCACATGCGGATGTTGGCCACGCCAGCAAATGTGAGCGACGATGTGCTTCGAAACAGATGGCTGGACCTTTTGCCGCCGCAAACGAGGTACATGCTGCTAGACATCAGGAAGCAGTCGCTCGAGGACCTTGCAGCAGTGGCCGACGAGGCTCATGAGGTCAGCCCGTCAGTGATGGCAATGAGCCATTCACCCCGGAGATCCCAGTCACCGTCCAACGCCTCGTCGAATCATGTCGCGCAGGAGCTTGCAGAGCTCCGTCGAGCTATTGAGAAGCTCACCAACATCACGCGCAAGTCCCTCCGTTCCAGGAGTGGCCAACGAGGTCGCTCCAGGAGTCGTGGCACCCGGTCAGTGAGAAACAGATCACCTACGTCAGCGAACAACGCGAGGACTGGGTACTGCTGGTACCACGCGACGACCCACGGCAGCGACGCGGACAACGGCAAGACAGGCTGGACGCATCCGCTGACGAAATATCCCTCGTCGCATTCGGAAAACTAGAGCTCGATAATCCCGAAGAAGATCTTTCGCACGCCTTTCGTCAAACAGGCTCTCGTGCTCTTTGCAGTCTGCGAAACTCGTACAGGCTGTGAACGCGACCCTCATTGTGACGTTTGGTGAGAAAAAGTTCACTCTGAACATCGGATTATCAAGACCGCTCGAGTGGACGTTTATCATCGCCGACGTCCGCACGGCAATCCTCGGATCGGACTTCATTATTCGACACGATTTTCACGTCGATCTCCCTCGCCGCAGTCTAATCGACCGATTGACCAACGTTGCATCGTCGTGCTCTATCAGGCCGTTGGCCGAGGTATACGCCATCTCGCCTGTGACTGCGAAAATCAGCGAAGCGCCTGTTGAATCTGAATACCAGAGGATGGCCAAGGAACTCGTTTCGACAGAAGTGCCAGCTGGAGAGATGGCCTGCATACCCAACCTGCCTGTCCAACACCACATAGTGACAGTCGGACAGCCCGTCTTCACTCGACCATGACGGCTCGCAGGAGAGCATCTCGAAGCAGCGAAGAACGAATTCACAAATCTGCTTGAGGGAAAAATCATTCGACCCTCTTCGAGCCATGAGCGATCCCGTTGCACCTCATGCCGAAGCCAGGAGGCAGTTTGGCAACACGAAAACGCGACCGGATCGTCACCCACTGCCTATTATAGAGGATCTGCTCCAGGAAATCGGTGGTGACGTCTTCTCGGTAGTCAACCTCTATCAAGCCTTTTATCAGATCCCAGTGGTACTGGAGGACATCCTGAAGACGGCTGTGACGATGCCCTTTGGACTCTTCGAGTTCGTCGGGATGCCTCGGGACTTCGCAACTCAGCCCAGACATTTCAGAGAGCCATGAATCATCTACTGCGCGACCTACCATTCGTCTGATGCTACCAGGACGACATTTTGGTGTTGTCAACAGGACACGATGAGCACGCGCAACGCTTGCGTGAGCTTTTCACGGTACTGTGCAACGCGAAGTTTCAAGTTAATTGGACCAAGTGCCAACCTGGCCAAAAGGAGGTCATCTTCGCGGGGTATCACGTGTCGGCATCAGGTTTTAGACCACCGGAGCTACGCCGTTTCCTGAGCATGACCACCGCTCACCGAGTTGCTCAGAGGCCTCGTGAGAAAAAAAGAAAAGCTCGCTTGAACACCGAAGGCCGAAGCCGCTTTTGAACGCACCAAGAAGGCGATGACCGAAGAAGTGCGCTCATCGTTTTTGTCGCCGTCGCAGCCGCTGGCTCTCTACACCGACGCCTCAGACACAGCCATCGGTGCCGCGCTGAATCAGCAGCGCGAGATCGGAGTTTGGGTGCCACTCAGTTTTTTCTCAAGAAAGGTCTCACCAACAGAGCAACGGTACTCTACGTACGACCTCGAGCTTTTGGCCATTCACGCTTCGATAAAGCATTTCCAACGGATACTCGAAGGTTGGAACTTTTGTATCCTCACCAATCACAAGCCGTTGCTTTACGCACTCGAGCAGCGCACGGACAAGCATTCACCTCGTCAGACAAGACAGCTTGATTTCATTGGCCAGTTCGACACCGTTATTCAGCATACTCCCGGCGAGGACAGCGCGGTGGTGGACGTGTGTCTCGCGTCAACAGCATAGCCATGCCGACCTTGGTCACGATGAAGGAGCTCAGCAATGAGCAGAAAAACGATCTATAGCTTGTCCGTTCGTCTTCAAAGATCTGAGCACCTGCGACTACGTCATGCGCCGCCTGAACATGACAAAAAAGAATTTGGCTGAGGCGAGCCGGCCTGGGGAACAACAATCTGCCCCATCCATGGAGTCAACGGTTTCAGCAGAGCCCACGACACCCTCGGACCCCATGTCGACCACACAGCCTGTGTCGTCTACTCAGCAAAGGCTTTCTATAGAAACTACGCTACCTCCAACAAGATCCCAGCCACGACGTGTCGCTTTTACATAATCCTCGTAAAATGCGAAGTCCATTGGGAGGGGAGTAGCTGTAGCGCCTTCAACCCTGCAAAGCGAGAGACGTGCTCGAAAAATATACCTATTATATGGCATCATAGAGGAAAATTGTAGATTTTCTGACAAAAGGGGGGGGGGGATGGAACTTACACTCTTAAATTCGGTTTCGCCTCATTGTCATTTTTACGTGCATGCGGGTGTTTCATTTTTCACCTGTGTAAGAATAGTAGATTTTCTTACAAGGGGGAGAAATGAAACTTCCGCATGCACGTGATAATGGCGCCGTCATATCACATGTATGAGGGTGTTTCATTTTTTACCCGTGTAAATTAAAATAGTATTTTTTTCCATTCCCGTTTTCATAAAATTATCCAAATAAATTCAAAATAAAAAAATTAATTCAAGATTTCAATGCACATAAGGACTTGCATTTGTAGTAGACATACCATAATGCGCGAATGATATTTCAGGACTCTGCATAATTTTTTCTACGTAATTATTATAACATCTCGAAGTATTGATGTGTCTCCGACAAATTGTAGGCTAAGTAATGCGGGCGATAAAATTATAAATATTACGTTGCTAGGCTGAGCTGGCGATAGAACCACTGCATCTGTCGGACACGCAGAAGTGGGCAAAAGTACTTTTTTTTTCTACGCTACGCGTACGGCGAAAGTAAATACTTTTGCCGGAGGGATGGAAAAATAGTTATTTATGTAACAAGTGCCCAAAAGGCGTTTTTGGGCACGAGTGTGCGGAAAAAGACACGAGTGCCGGCTGTGCCGGCACGAGTGGGTGTTTTTTCCGCACACTGTGCGCAAAAAGCTGGGCACGTGTTGCATACAAAATTTTATGCAATAGTAGGCGAAAAAAACGTTCATTTAAATGGGGCGTTTTACCGCACACCTGTGTCCAAAATGGGGCATTTTACCGCACACAAGTGTCCAAAAACGCTTTTTGCGCACTAAAAAATGTTTGAAAAAAGACATTTTTCGTCATACTATTGCATAAACAGAATTTTTTCATTCCTGTGCAAAAATAGTAGTAATCAGAGTTTTTTGTGTCACCCTAACCTAAATTAACATTTTACTCCCGCTGAGCGAAATGAAAATGTCATTTTAGGCTGGGGGATTAACAAAAAATTGTATTTGCACCTATGTAGCGAAAAAAGAAAGTCTCAGAGCACGTGATTATCAGCCTCGGCTTCGCCTCGGATGATAAATTACACGTGCTCTGAGACTTTTCAGTTTTTCTCTCCCTAGGTGCAAAATATACTATTTCCCCACTTTTCTGGCAAAAGTGTTTACTTTCACATCGCTAGCATAGGCTAGAAGAAGCAATTCTGCGATTTCGGCAAATGCACCGATTGCTATAGCCAGTTTGACCAAACAACATAATATTTACTATTTTGTTGCTCGAATGACTTAGCCTATTACTTTATTTTATATAAATTTTCATGACGTTCGCCCTCCAACCAGTATCACTCGTTTCGCTTGTGATGCGCATTTTGAGGGCGATCATCAATAGTTAATAAATAGAGCCAACTCTATGCCTGGTATACTTAGGAATAGGTCTTAGCCTGGAATAGGTCTTAGTCAATATGGAGTTACCAGTTTGGAGCGCAGCACTCAAAATGACTGGAAAAAATTGATTGTTTAAATGTATCCATGGACTACAGTAATTCTTTTATGAAAATTCAAGATACACTATCGTAAAGTACTCTTTTTAACGAGTAATTTAAAAAAAAATTTGAGCTCTCTACGATTATTTTTGCACCCTGTAGGTCGTTTTGTAGGTACTATTTATGTGCAGTATGCCCAAAAATCGTTACATTTGAATGTTCATAAAAATGACTTATAGGGACCATGGGATCAAACTATGCATACTGGGCTTTATTATTGGGTACCAGAAAATCACAAAAAAATTTAGTGAGAATTGGTCATTCATACGTAGTGGGGTCTCCTTGTAAGCAATTTTCCTAATCTGCCTGAGCAGCGAAAACATACACTTTTGCCGAAAGAATGGAAAAAACACATTTATAGCACTGCGTGGCATAAGTTCACATCTATGGCACGCTTTTCGGTGGCATAAGTCGCACATTCTGGCACCGCTACGTTCGCATCACACTCGCATACGCTCGTGCGCTAACCTCACTTCGCGCTACCAGAAAGTGCGACTCATGGCTCGGAAAAGGGGGCATAAATGTGAACTTTGCACAGTACTATAAAATGTTGTTCGATACTCGGGCCAGCTATTAGGACCCTCGCTGCGCTCGGGCCCTAAACTACGCCGTGCCAAAAAGTGTTACTTATGGCACTTGTATCGAAAATTACTATTTTCCTACTCTAACTTAAAATATGCAACTTTGCCGCTTATTCTAGGCTAGGGTAGGAAAAAAATTGTATCATCAACTAGTGCAAGTATGGTTTTTTAACAAAACTTGTTACAGCACGAGCCAAAGGCTAGTGCTACAATTCCTCGTTTCGCTAAAAAACCATAGCTGCACCCGTTGAGAATTATACTATTTTATATTGGTGAGAATGTAGGCGATCAACTAGCGTTAATTGCCTTAATTTTATCGTTCTGAAATTTTAAGACAACAATCTGCTCATGTTACTGCTCAGAATGATCTAGAATGAAAAACGTTGGTTAAAAAATAACGAAATGACATCATTTTTTCGAAAATCGAAATTTTTTTCTTTCTTAAAAAATATTCTGTCGTTTTTTCCATTCTGGTCGATTTTGAGCAGAAATATCTGCAGAGGACTGTATTAAATTTCAAAACGATAAAAGTAATGGTTTTTCTGAATCATATGAGCTCACTTGAAAAACTTTGTTTCGAGACAACAGTTGTAGCAGACAACAAAAAACTGCTAAAAAAATACAAAAAAATGTTAATTTAGTTTACTTTATTGTGTAAAAAGTTCCATTCAGATATGACTTTTTCTTCCATTAAAAATAAACTATTGAAAATTTATAAACTTTTTTGTTTGGAGGTGCAAGATCCTCTTCCCTCAAAAAATGACTATCGATAGAATCTTTCGAAATTTCAACCACATATTATTGACAATGCTTTTCATACGAAGGAAAAACTTCAGGAACCTAAGCGTTACCGTTTCCGAGATATAATTATAATCAAAGTTAGCTACTTTAAAACGGGATCTCTTTGGTACAGTATCTGAAATACGATATTTGGGTTAGTTATAAAAAAACTCTTTGGTAGAATCTTTTAAAAAACTAGGAGCTATTATTGTTCAGTGTGTACTGAAACCTTTCTCAAAAACTGAAAACACCTGACGGTACAATTTTTGAGAAAAGTTAATTCAAAGTCGACAATTTGATAGTATTTTGAGCCGGCAGAGAACGAATATATGCATGCGTGCGTGTACAAATGTGAGTGAGCGTGTATGAGTGCAATGGAGTCGCGATCAAACTTTTGATTCTGATTATCGTGAGGGAACTACCTTAAAGGAACTTTGAAACAAGATCAAAAGCCATTTTTAAACATAGACAGCTGAGCTCTAAAGGGAAGCTTACTATGTATCGTATAATTATTGTAATTGATTTTGTAAAAACATTTACTTTTTTCTTTTAAGAAGGTACTTCGAGTACTACGTTAGTCAAGTTTTCATAGTCGCGTGTATGTCGAAGGTAACTAGAACTAACCTAACTAAATAATCCCTAGACAGGCACGTCTGCTCGTTGTTCGCGTACTACGTTGATCAGTTGTTGCATGCTGGTTATAGTGCTCGTTTACCGTCGCCCGAGATTTGCACGGAATGTCACTAGAATGTGAATTCATCAACAAATTTTAATTAATTTCACAGTACTTACGTAGCTCACAAAACTTTAATACGGGGTACAGTGATAGTTTAATGAAGGGCTCAAAAAATTTATAGTTATAAATTATGATATATGTTATGAAATGTAAAAAATTATCTTCATTTGCTTAAGAGACAATGTAAAAATGCTTTACTGATATCTCTTAACTGTGCATTCCTATTATAAAAATGAGCATGTTCACATAATTTGGTTTGATTCCGTCTTATAAGTCTTCGACGGAGGTACCTCTTTAACATAAACAGATTGTAAATAATAAAGAGGAAAATAAAGTTTCAAACATAAATCAATTAATTCAATCTCTAATCGGTCACCGTTTGAAAATTTGGAAATTTTCAACATGCAAATAAATAAAACATGTATTAATATTTACTTTGAGGTAGAATTTTGGTTTCAAATATATTATTTCATTTGAGAGAACTGCAACTAATTGAATCAACATGAGTGTATCAACAAAATTTCCAGCATATTTAACCAATATCTTATACTCGGCAATTTCACCAGTTATTGCATTTTTCGCTGCATCTGTAATCTGGAATAAAGACAAAAATTAATGTTGAGATTGAGCATTAAAGATAAAATAATATAATTAAGAAAGTTTTTGCGCGAACTTTTCGACATAGAAACTCAAATGAAAATACCTCACTTGATATCTCAAGTGAGTTTTGAATTTTAGTATAGCACACTGAATTTATAATTTATAGATCTTTATAAATAAATCAGGACAAATGTATAAAGGGTATGTATTTGGGTGGTTCACTTTTGTAAACATTTTCGAAATCGCGTTGGCACCTTGTAGATTTTTAAAGTTTAAGTCCAAAAAAATGTCGTTGCAAGTGTTGATAGCTACTTGAATTTCAAAAGCGCAGTCCTAAAGACGAGCAAAATTGATCAATCATAAAATAGATTTCAATCTCTATTCTGAGAATGAAAATATTTTTCAATTTCAATTTTTTTTAATTTAACTTTAGTATGAATTTTAAACTGCCTTAATCTATTACAAATTTTATAATTTTATGATTTCATATATAGTCCTGGAGCCAAAGAGGGGTCGGATCGGCCACGAGAAGAAGATGGATGAAAACATGTTATTCTTTTGTATTTTTTCACGCTGAATCCGAATATCCGAATAAAAATTTGTTATAAACAAATATATTGCAAAATGAAGAAAATTTAAATTTTTCTCAATTTTAAACCCATATTTGTGTTTTTTGGGCAATTTTAAGCAAAAAGTGTCTCTTGTAAAATTTTCGTAAAATGATTATTTACCGAGATATTGAGACTCAAAGAGGAAAAAATGCACATTTTTGACCATTTTCAAATACCCATAACTTTTGAAATAACAACGTTAGATAGATTTTAGACCTGTCATTTGAAAGATAAAAACTTAATCTTTAAGGTGATACTAATATCAAACATGATTTATCATACTGGACATGTTTTTTTGCACTATAAACATCGGCGTGTCAGAGCGTGTAATCGCGTTACGCATGCTACTGACATGTGCATTGCCATCAGAACGTGGTCGGCCCAGAACCTCATGAGCCAGACGGTGCAAGAACTCGGCATAGACGTGGCCATCGTGTGCGACCAATATAGAAACGTTGGTCTGACTTCACGATCGCGAGAGGCCGCCTGCGTGCAGCTATCGAGGAAAGCAAGCGACGCTGCTAGAGCGCCCTATGCGGTAAGGTCGATCGGGACGTATGAGGGTGGCCATACGGAACGGTCATGTCGCGGCGGAAGGGCCCCAGGATGGCTATTACTGGAGCAACAAACGGTCGCCACTCTGTTTCCGACGGTCACCGAGCCTCTGATCCAACCTCCGGTGGGACCGGCCGGGGCCATAATCCTGGGCGCCACCCCCGCCTGTCCCCACACGGTCGAAAACGCTGAGCACGTCTTCTTTCACTATCTTCGATTCGAGGAACTTTTGAATTCTAAAAAATGTCGATAGAAGGCCTCAATCGCTCTATAAATTTTTTGTACATTCCTGACATGCCAAAAAATGTGTTTATCATATTAGATTTAGAAAAAAAATGTTGACCGGTTAAGTTGACAGAGAATCGGCCATATAGTATAGGAGCTGCGGTATCAAGGTAGATGGGATGTGGCAATGATGGCCGATTACTGCTGCATGTTGAAGATAAAGAGGTAAAAAACGCAAATGGCAACCATTACGCAGGTCGTTTGAAGAAAAAAGATGTGTTACAAAAAAAAGTAAAAATGCAAAATTAAGAATATTTTAATTTAATTTTATTTATTTTATTATATATTATTATTTTTTTTATTTTAATTTAATTTTAATTATTTTATTATATATTATTTTTTAATTTTATTTTAATTTTATTTTATTTATTTTATTATATATTATTTTTTATTTTATTTTAATTCAATTTATAAGTTTTTTCAAATTTTTTTCCACCTTTTTTCATGGTCTGATTCAGATTCAGCGACCCTCGAAACTTTAATGTGATTCTTTTTGGATATTTATATTGACTCCTCTTAATTTGACCTTCAAATGACCTTGAAGTTGACCTCGTAAAGATCGTCTGACTTCGGATTTGAATTCAGCATTCTCGAAAACCATGCATGAATTTTTTCGGATTTTTTTACCATTTTCCCTTTATTAACCTCAAAATGTCCTTGAAAATGAACCAACCTAGAAAAACCGACCTTGGATTCGGTTTCAGCGACTCCAAAAAGATTAAAGTTACCAAGTCTAGTCGGTGGACTCGAAATTGCTTCCTCATAAAGGAAGCTCTGTGATAGGCTCGAAAACGAAATTTTGAACCAGACCTTGTAGGACAATTTGGCTTACATATTTGTGGGTTTATATTTCAAACATGTCGTTGAATCAAAATTCAAAAATGAAATATGAATTTTCCCTTTAATAACCAAACCCTTTCATTAATATAATTTTTTATGAGGAAACTCTTTGCCAATAAATTGGCAGCGGTTTGTTTGTGTGGCTGGGTTATCAATGAAGTAAAGTCTGTTTGGCCTGAATCGGTATTTGTACACAGGAAACCACATCATAGTTAATCACAAGGATCTGTAGAAAAAGCGAACAGAGATATTGAAAATATTATAACTGTGTGGATGGCTAAAAATAAAACTAAAAAATCGCTCCAAGGCTTACCATTTGTTCATTCTTCTAAAAATAGAGCCTTCCATTCGGGAATTAGACGAAGTCCATATAAAGCTATGTTTGGTTTTGAACCAATAGTAGGCCTAAAGGATTACCCTCAGATATAATATCAAATTTCAGCGACGAAGATGAGATGAGCTTCCCTGAGTTGCCTCCCTATAATTGATAATGACGACCCAATAAAACTTGCAGAAAGTCAAAAGACCGACGAAATTTCTTCTTGTAAGGAACTTGTTCAATCAAATAAAGATATCCGTGTAACAAGGAAATGAGCTGTATAAGAAGGTTTAGAAAGACAAGCAAGGCGAATGAAGACCCGGTCTGATAATTTGCACAAGGCGGTAACAGTGGACGATTGTATTATCATTACAATTCTTGAAGTGGACAAAGTGAAAGACGATTTCCGACATATCATTGGAATTATTTTAGAAGGGAAGAACAGCCTCTATAAAGTTAGAACGAAGTACGGGGTCCTTAACGAACAATATTGCCGCTTAAACCTTTAACGCTTGAAATCACCATTTTTTGACAACATTTATAGCGATGAATTACACCAACTAAAAATTGTTTAAAAAACTTTTCAGACATCATTTCTTACGTAAAATTTAAGGTACTTTTCGAATCCAGGGTCAGAGTTTTCAAAAATTTATTTAATAAAAAGTTATAAACAATTTTGTAAAAAAAAACATGAAATTTGGAGGAAAAAATCTCGTTTAATTCAAATTTCAACACGGAAAGAAGGTTCGCTCGTGCGTTTCACGCATAAAAATTTGGTCAATGGCATGTATACTTTATTGTAAAATAGTTATTACTTTCAATTTGGTGTATGTAAAAACTCTCTTAGCCCTCTAGAACCAAAGATACTGCTATTCGAAGTTTTACTCAACATTCAAGTATCATGTCAACTGGTCTATGAAAATGACAGATTTAATGCTTTAATTCTCAGTGAAACTTCAAACGGCTGTATCTTCGGTTCTAGAGGATTTAGAGAGTTTTTACATACACCAAATTAAAGGTAATTTTGTACTCTTTAAGTTTATGTACTTATTGTTGTACAATGGGTTGTGGAGGGGACGATTTTGAACGAGTCTGGAAGTTTTTGCAGAGTTTAGCCGACATCGTACACGTTTAGTCAGTCAGAGCGGAAATACGCGTGACAGTCACCAGACTAATGTATGACGAGTGACCCTGAGGAGGGTCGATGTTATTTGTTGCCTCTTAGTTTACAAGTTTTGCAAACTCTACGTTTAGTCCTGAGAATGACTAGTTTTGATGCAGGCTGTTAATTTGTGCAGAAGGACTGGCTGTGACCAGCGGTGACCAGCGGTGACCAGCTTTGACCGAAGTTGATCGTCTGTGACCGATGTTGACCGTCAGGGAGGTGATGGTCGGATGGATGATGACGTCGTTGTCGGCTCGGGCTGCTTGGCTGTCACATGACTCGTGAGAATGGAGTGACACAAATACCGATTACTTTTCTGTCCAACTTGTAAAGTTGAACAGTCAAAAGTCAATAGACAAAAGTCCAATCGCTTTTCTATTCTCACTTGTAACAAGTCGAACAGTCAAAAGCTGATTCAATCGAGTCAAGCGGCACTTATACTAGTACTCTGAACTCGACCTTTTCTCTTGCAGGCACGACTTTTTAGTGGCGCAGCACCACCTGGCGGCCGAGTCGGAAGTTTGAAAAGTCAAAAGGTGGGGAAAGGTGTTGAAATAATGAGTCAAGTATTTTGTAATTTAACCAAGTTCACTATTGAGAAGTGGCCCTAGGTCAAAACTCTTGAGTGCTCGTCGACGCGAACGCGAGGATGAGAGTCGATGTGCTCTGGCTGGCGACCGAGAGACGACTGACTGAGTCGGCCAAAGTGGCTCGCTTATATACCCAGCGAACCACGCGCTGATTGGCTGATGCCGCAAGGTGGGGACGCAAGCAGGGGTCTCGGCGTTGGGGACAACATTATGTTTGAGGTTTGAGTTTGCCGAGTATGTGTAACATGTAAAGATATAATATGTAAACATATTAATGTCTACATAAAAACTTACAAGGGAGTAGTTGACATGTTGAGGAAGCTTCTTAAATAGTTTTGGAAAGGAAAGTCCGGATCATACTTGATTAGATTTTGTGCTTTTTGTTTTTTCTTGATTATTTCTATTGTAGAAGCCTCCAGAGTGCTCAGACCGCTTTAAGACCCATTTTTTCTGAAAATTTGGACGATTTCTAACAAAAAAACTTTGTGCACTTTTACTTTTGAGTAATTCTACATTGAGCTAGAGCTTAATGAAATATTTGCGATCTCCGATAAATTACGGAAAAATGCAAAAAAAGGCCAACTCTGGAATTCCGAATAAGGGTGATAGAAAGCCCCAATCCCCTTATAAATTTTTTTATATATTTCTGACATTCCAAAGAATGTTTTCATCGTATTAGATATAGAAAAAAATTTTTGACCGGTTTAGTTGACAGAGAATCGACCATAATATATGCGCGATATGTGTAGATAACTAACATAAGGTTAGAATACCAACTGTGCTAATATAAATACACACGTATTAGGTAGGTTAGTTTTCTAGAGGCAAGCATATGTTTGTTTGTAAAAATCGACGAGTAAAATAATTACATAATAGCAGAAAGCAGGGTTAGGTCGAATACTTGGGGCTCTCAAAAAATCGAAAAATTATCTCGGGAAGCCAGAAAATTATTACTTTAAAAAAATTTTACCAATCTAAAATATACTACATACCGCACCAAAAATTACTATGTTAGTCGAGTAGTTGAGTAGTTGACCGATTGCTTAATCGATCGGACAGCAGCCCAAATTCGAAGCGTAAAGCCTAGAAAACCCTTTTGCGATTCGTAACGTAATTGAGTACGTCGCTAACCCGAGTTTTGATGAGTAAGAGTATTTTGCTGAATGTGATTGTGTGTGAACGTCGATCAGCACAGTTGTGATACGTGTGTGCTCGCGTGGTGCATAGCGTGTGCCAGCGAGTAGCCTCGTCGGGTGCGTGAGTCAGCACGACAATACGCTAGCGAGTACTAGGACGTGTGTGAGTGTGTGAGTGTGAACGGAGACGTGGTGAATAACCTCGTCGGGATTTGGCGCGACACAGCCTCAAGACCCTCACGCGACCCGTGCTTCGACACAACCGGCCTCGTGGCCTCGCGGACGCGTGTAGAGCCATTAGGGCTTAGATTACGCGGAGATAGGCGGACATTGGCGCGTACGAGCAGACCTAACGCTGCAACGAACCTGCGTTGCCCTTAGCGAATCTCAGAGTACCTGGTGCTAGCCGGCCAGGTAGTCGCAAAGAGAAGAAAGCGTTTGTGTCGCTCGTCACAACTGAAAAAGTGTATAAAATTTGGAGTAAATTTATTAAGCGGTACTTTGGGAACTCTACGTAGGAAACCTCATTTTAATTGCTTAGATCAGTAACCAAATTAATAGGAGTGGTACGCATACCATGAGCACATACCTTTAATATAAGAATGGAAACATCTTCTCAAAGGTATAAAAGACCACCAGTATTATTGCTATGAGCCCAAGGTTACAAAATTTAATGTGTCATCAATTTTAGGAATATAATATAGCTTTAAGCCCCCTATTAGCCCTTAAGTACACTTATCATAATACATTAATACGGTACTGCTGTGACTTAAATAGACCATTATGGTCACGAAGCGCCACAAAGTGCACTACCGCAGCGCAAGTGGCACCTGAGCGTAGCGAAAATGATAATCGGTTACATTAGTCACACATTATAATATAACATTACTTTTAAAAAATGTACCTGTACGATGTAAAATAACCAGAAGGAGCATGTACATAATAGTGTAACCAGAATTGTTCCCGTCTTGAAAATTGAGAAACGAGGAGTAAATGCTTCATTTTTTTTACCAATAACAATATAACTTCCAATAAATAACAAAAATATCTTGAATATTAAGCTTATTAAATGACCTTTACACTCCAAATTACATGAAGAGTATGATATTTTTTGCTGTGTTGTCAATATCGACAAATTTTCTGGAATATAATTGAACTTAGGCCAAATTATCATGATAACTGGGCTGATTAGTGACACTATCAAAATGGCCATCGTAATCATGTTACTAATGCAGTTTTGAAATGGACGTTTAGAATTTTTTTTACTTGACCAAGTATTTATTTTTTCATCTAAAGTAGATCTATCAGAAGTATTTTCTGTGATAACGGTTGTATTTTCGGTCCATGTTTCTTCTGAATGTAGAATTTCTAGATCTATATCATCATGACTGGTATCTTCTAGCTTACTCTGTCTTATATTTACAGTTGTTTGGAATGGTGCCATTATTATAACTGAAACTTTGTATTTTGGTATACCAAGAAGTAACGAGCGAAATTTTATCTGAAATGAAAATATCAAATATTTATATTTAAAATAAAATTACCTTAGATGTTTAATGATTCAATAAAAAAGTAGGAAAATGAGAAATTTATTTTTATATATACATTTTTCTATTTAATGTTCCAAAAATTGATCATCACTTTATACAGGGTGTCCCAAAAGTATGGAAACCTCTGAAAAGCGGCCAAAATAAGCGGGAAAAAAAATTGGATAACCCTATATTCGACGTTTTTTTTCACGGGGAATCCAATGGTGACCTCAGATTTGACCTTGAACATAACCTCAAAGCTGCAGCGACTCAAAAATCGATTTTTCAAATTTACCCCCCATTTTTTATTGCAGATTTGAAAAGAGCGAAAAATTTCACGTCAAAATGTATGTTTTGTTTTTTTTTTAAAGACCATTTTAAGGGTGCTACAGGCTCAAATGAAACCCCGATTTAACCTAAAATTAAGCTCAGAAGAACTTCATTTTCTAACTGTACCGCCCCCAAAAATTATATTGGAAAAAAAACATAAAGGCCTATTCAAACGTATGTTCTCAACGTTTCATCAATCTTAAAGTGAACTTCTCAAGACTTGAAAACTATTGGGAAATGAATTGTGGGTGGAGCTTCGTCAATGAATCGTACACTATATAGGGCAATTGAATCTGCATCAATCCTCAAATGTATATAAAGCGAATGCTAGGAGCCTCTACCTATGCTAGTCCGTACACTATTGTTATTTTCTTGACGCCTATGTTATATGCAGAGACAGTCCAAACTCGCTATATTTACGCAAATTCAGCTTCTGTCGTCGAAAGCGCAAAAGATTTTTGTAGTTGTGAAGTCCATGAAACAGCAGCATCTCAAATCATGGCAACAAACCCGTTTTTTTATCTTCGTGTCTTCAGATCACCAGCATAATTAGCATCAGTATGAGTGCAGAGTCCTTTAGTGGATGAGATATATTATAGGCCAAAATCGATAGTTCCTTTTATATTGTTATATGCTATTTTTTCACATTAAATAAAGTTTTCGAGTGACATAAATTTTACATTAAAATAAAGTTCTCGAGTGTTTTTGCTGCTCGCATATCTCATCACTTTAACTCAGCAGTTCGCTAGAGTTAACAGCGAATTAGCATCAGTTTCATTAAGTTCGCGAGTGCCAAATTTCGCGAGTGTCGAGTTCGCGGCCATTACGCGCGGCCGAAAATCCTTGCCGTTGCGTGTGTGAACACGACTTGCCGGCTAAACACGTGTGTGCGGCGGCCATTTTTTCGCACAACGCAGATTGTCGACGTCTGCCGTTGGCGCGTTTGAACTCGTTCGAGTTCGCAGCCCGCACGTGTGTGTACCACAATTTCAATAGCTGAGTAGCAATTTCCGGCTCTCGCTTTCGCAACTTTGCGATTTTTCTCTCTCGAACTTTGGCATTGGGCAGTGCTTTTTCAGCCATTTTTGAGTCGGTTTAACTCAAGGCTGTTAATTTTTTTCAGTGAATTTCAAAAATTTTTGAAAATTTTTTATAACAAGCTAAGCTTGTTAGTTGAATTCCTTAGTGAACAAAATAATCAAATTCTTTTGAATTTGGAAAAATAACGGTCCGCCTTGGACAGGCTTCAAGAGCCACGCCGACTCATCTGAGTGTGTTCTCGTGGATGAGCAAGCGGTACGACGACATTGGCTTGGGCAGCGGCAAGCAGCGGTGATTTGCGGTTTGCATCGGACATCGGCTTCGGCGGCAGCAGCGGTGATTTGCGATTTTTCATCGAACATCAGGGATGAACAACGACGACATACTTCTTCGTTGCGAGGTCGACGATCTAACGTATCACGAGTGGCGCAGTTTAGCTAGAAAGTAAGATTTTCTTTTACTCGTTTCGCTCGACTGCATCCGACCGCGCGTACGCGAATTTATTCTTTTAAAATATAATTTTTTGAAATCAAATAAATAGTACGCTTTCTGCCTGCCGATGTATTTTTTGCAGAATGTAAATTTTTTGAGACGATTCTCGTCAAGGCCTGTGATGCCTTTATAATGCTGCCGCACTGTCGTCATCCTTGCTGCTGGCGTTAATCGATCTCGTTAGTTTCTTTACATCGGCTAGTGGTTTGCAAATATTTTTCTCCCTGTACATTGCCTTTGCGAGCACCGCGTCCTGCGGATGATGTTGCTGTCTGCTGTTTGGACGGTTAAGACTCAAAAATTTTTTTAAATTAATTTAGCTGTTGCATTTTTTCCCTGCCGCGTAGTTGAATGGTTTTCACGCTGTAATATTTTCTTCAATTTAGCGGGAATTTCTTTAAATTCTTGAAATTTGTGCATCAAATTTCTCGAATTTTCTGGAATTTTCGACCGTGCCAGAAGGCGCCTTTTTCATTTAATTTTGTGATTTCCGGTACGAGTCACGTTTGGCGCGTTTACACATAGAACACCTTGAACACTTGCTGATGTTCTTGCCCTTGGTTAAGTAATTGTTTATTTTCTGAATTCTTACCAGAGTTCTGGAAATTTCGCGCGGTTATCGAACTTGACTCTCGCACGAGTCTTTATTTTTGGCCTTAAAGTAATCTCTTGCTGAAGATTATTTACTTTCGGTACTAAGCTGTAGCGTTTGACTTTTGTTGTTGATTTTGAATTATTCAACGATCAGGCTTTTTCATTTCATTTAATCATTACATTTTTTCATCTTCATTTAATCATTTCATTATCGCTAAGGTGCATCCTTGCGATACGCCCTTGCTTCGCTTTTTTGTCAGGACGTACCATATTTTTCACTTTTCATTCGTTTCACCTGTTCAGAATTTTTAAGCAGACGCATAGCGAGTTACTGGAGAGGAATCGTGCGGGGTTTTTCGAATTTAAGTAGTTACGTCAAAAGCCAAGAAATTTCACCTTGTCCTCTGCTAATATTAGCAGATGATATACATATACAATTACGTACTGCCCTGTTGACTCGTACAGAGATTGTTTCGATTTTATTGTCCTTTTTGTCCTTATATGCAGCGTTTATGTTGCGGTTCATGCGGTGATTTTGCGCTTCAGTTGATTAATTTATTTTTTGATATCTAATTTAATAATTAGTAAATACTCTGACAGATCGTTTTTCTCAGCGATTTACTTCCTTTTACCGTGCAAATAATAGATATTTAATTAGATTTTCTCTTTGGGGTATTTTTGCAGTAGTATATCGGTAGTACCCCCGCGTGACAGGCGGGTAACCGGGGTTCGATTCCCCGCTGTAAGGACATTTTTATTTATAAAAAGCCTCATTGAGGTGTCTTTTGGATATCTCGCGTTTAGTATTACTAAAAATCCTCATCGAGGTGTTGCAAAGATATTTTTCAATTATTACTAAAAAATCCTCATCGAGGTGTTGCAAAGATATTTTTCAATTATTACTAAAAAATCCTCATCGAGGTATTGCGAGCTATTTTGCAATTATTAAAAATCCACTAGCGCTTGGGGTATTGCAAAGCTATTTTGCTATTATTAAAAATCCACTTATACTTGGAGTACTGCAAAGCTATTTTGCGAATAATTATTAAAAATCTACTTGTATTTGGGGTGTCGTAAAGCTATTTTGCGACTTTAACTATTAAAAATCCACTTACGTTTGGGGTATCGAGAAATTACTTTCGATTTAAAATTTAACTTGCAAGTCATTTATTGAGGTAAAACTTCGAAGTATTTTTGTTTGTATTGTCTTTTACTTGTATTGTTAATTGTTTTTTTTTGACTTTTCAATTCGTGCCCTTTACACGCGACTTGAAATTTTTTATTTTTAGGACATTGATTATTTTTGTCTAGATTTATCTAGCCTTAAATAATTAATCATGGTTACTCCCACCCCCCCCCCCCCCCCCCCC